CTGACATGTTTTCTCTATGTTGTGCTAAATAGATTAAAAAAAAACAACAAGCTCAGATCAATTATAGTAAGTTATCATCTAGTTGAAATGCCTCAAGAAGAAATTGACATTTTAGATCATAAAGTATTCTGGGAGAGTGCTGTTATATGTGCCAGGGCTTTGACTGTAGGAATACTAAAAAACTGCTCAATACAATAATTATATAAATCCTAATTGAATCTTGCTTTGATTGACAATAAAGAGTACCTGACATGTAAGAGGTATTTACTAGGTATAGATGTCTGTGGAGTTGAAATAAATTTAAACAGGCATTTTGGTATTTTCAAGATTCTTGGGGTCGCTTTAACAAAGATCAGTTATCATAATGATATCTTTTATTTATACAGCATTGCCAATTTTCAAAATGCTTTTTATCATGAGTTTTCTCATTTGATGCTTTTGTGAACTTTGCTGGGTAGAGAAAGCAAATATTATTATCCTCATTTATTAAATGAAGTAGGTTGTACAGCTAGTAAGTGGCAAACCTAGGAGTTTAATCTTAATCTCTTGATATCTAGTACTTTGATCACTATATTGTTCTTGTCATTCAATATTTGATATCTAGTAGAATGTTACGTATCAAATTTACTGCATTAAGAATTTTAAAAATTATCTATTCCTACAAAACCTTTTAAAAACAGACTTACACAGGTACTTTATGAACTGAAACACATGTAAATCCTTCTACAGAGTGACCATAAATATTCCAGGCACACTTTAATATCATAAATTACAAAATATTTGTTTAAAAAAGCAAACCAGAAAGGGAGAGTACAAAAATACATAGACATCATTTTCTTCTTAAAGTGTCAACTTAGAAAAGTTAACTAAAGAGGGAACTGTTTTCCTCTGTGCCAAATATTAAAAATATTTATTTTAAAAAAGAATGACTTCACTTAGAGACTATTTAAAATGTTTGAAACTGATGAGGTCCAAATGAAACGGTAGTTTCTCATTGTTCATGATCCTTTGTCCATTATTAGATTGTAAAATAATTGATGGTAGGAATGTTGTACTGAATATGTTTATGTTTACTTCAGTGCCTTGCTTACAGTAAGCCCTCAAAATAAATACTTGATGAAAGTTGAGTTTAATTTATTTTTAGTATTTTTCTTTTGATGGTTTGAACTCAACTTCATCAAATCCAAGAAGATAAAAAGAATAGGCACACTTTGTCACTCACTTTTTTTTTTATCATTTTCTATATTCTCATAAAATTATTAAAATACAAACTAATCAGGTTTCTTTCTTACTCTGAGTTTGTGAGATAGAGAAAGGGGCCAACCTCCAATTTTTATGTTATAAAGTCCTGATACATATAAATTTGTTGAAATAATTGTGCAGTATTTCATAGCAGGAGAGAAAAATACAATCATATCTACAACAGAAAAAAGAAAGAAAAATATCTTAGTCTAAATCACTCACAGGATAAAGTTTGAACTCCTTAGCTATTAATAGGTAGATAATGTCTTTAACCTAAAACTTCATCTCCCCACCTTCACCCTCCACACACACACACACACACACACACACACACACACACACACACACACACACGTCTTTACTCTCCAGTGACATAGAATTATCATTTCTGAAGACACCTTGCTTTTTCCCTCCAGCTTGATTTTTCGTTTGCACCATACTCAACTTAGGAAGCCCTGCCCTTCCTCTTGCTTCCAATGAGGTTTCTCCAGGAACCAGCTCAAAACACACCATTTCAGTTCAAGGAGAATTAGTGCTCTCTCCTTTATATGTCACAGTGCTGCACTACCCAACAGCTTCCCCTTTTAAATTGTGGTGAGAGCAAAAACAATGAATCATGCTGTAGTTATATTTTTTCCTTTCTGTCTCTCTCTTTTCCCTCCTCTTCTCTCCTGCCTGTGTCTGATGTATAGAAGGCATTCCATAAATGCTTGTTGAGTCAGTAAAGTAATGAATAATTTAACAAATTAAAATCCTTTCTAGGGTACTCTTACTCATGTCTAGTGAATCAATATTATTAAGGTGGTTAATAGAGTAAAGGTCATTCATACTGAGAAGCAGTGTGGTACATTGGATGACACTTCAGCTTTGGAATGAGACAGATCAGAGTTTGTATTTAGAATCTATCAATTCCTAGCAGTGTGACCTCTGGCAAGTAACCTCACTTCAGTGGACTACAATCATTTGATTTGTATAATGGGGCTAACAATATCTACTTTGCAGACAGTTGAAAAGACCTAAATGGCCCAACACAATATCCGACAAAAAGCAGGTGCTCACTAAATGGAAATTTTTATTAGTCTCATCAGCTGGTATGTTTCAGTTTAGTATATTGGTTGCCATCACAGAACTTAGCACTTGGCTACCTATACTAGCTGTGTAATGCCTGCTAATTTTTTTGTTCTTGACCACATTTAAACCTCTCATGTTATACTTTAAACACTGTCCACAGTACCTAACTGAATGGTAGCCACAGACTTGATTTTTAACTGTTGGGTTAGAATTGTGGATCACAGTGAAAAGAGAGCAAAGGATTTGAAAACAATAGGTATCGATACACTGAGCTTTGTTAAGTCACTTTCCTTTCTCTGGTCCTTAGCTCATTAATCTGTAAAATTAAGACGCGGGCTTATTGAATCTTTTTCAACCTACAGCATCTGTGATTCTGTGATTAGATAATTATTCCTGTTTGTGAAATAAAGAATTGTACTCTAATTAAATAAGCCTCTGTAGCCAGATAGGAAAATGTAGGGTCCAGGTAGGTTGACCAGCCATCTCAGTTTGCCTGGTACAGTCACAGTTTTGGTGCAGAAAGCGCTATGTCCCATGACTCCTCTCAGTCTCAGGGAAACCAAACACAGTTGATCTTCCTAGGTCCAGGGTAATTTGACCAATAAGAGGCATTTTTTCTTTATGGTTGCTTAAAGGTTTTTTTTTTTTCTCTCTCTTTAATTCCACATTGACAAATAGTGTTTGGTTTTAGGAATAAAGATGAGCAACTGAGTAGGAGAAAATGCAAGAAGAGCCTATATAAAGTATGCAAATAAGCCCCTTTCTCTGATAATTAAATGTCATAGAATCAGGCACTATGTCAAACCTTTTATGTATAAGACACTGTGTTACACTTAGCTGTCCAGGGTAGGGATGTAGATCGTTCTTCCTTCACCTAAGCTAAGTGGGTGGAAGGGTGGGGGGAATACAAGACGTGTACCTAGGGAAAGATCCTCCACATATCACAAAGCAATTATAGAGCCAAAGTACATTTGATTGCTCAGGAAAGGAAGAGAAGGCCAGTAAGGACTAGAAGAGGTGGAATTTAAGGCTGCAGAGGATTTGGATGGGTTATGGAAGTGTTAGGTAGACAATCCAAGGGGTGATGCTGCTATGTAATGCACAGGTCCTGTAAATAACTGTTCTGGACCACCAACTCTCATTAAAAACACCTTGGAATCTGAAAGAGGTCTGAGACATTAGGTATACAAAAGAAAAATTTCCAAGAAATGATAAAGGAAGTTTGGTGGGTGATGACAGGGTTAGCAGTAGAATAAAGGAACCAGGGAAATGGAAGTGCTAGTAAAGCATAGGAAATTGAACTATTAGCCAAACTCTTTAGAAGCTTTTGTTTTGAGTTTCCCCCTCATTTTTAGGAGAAAATGTAAGGGACCCACTTAGGTCTCTGCTGCCATAATTTTGTTTGGCCCTTACCACTGCATTAGGGAGGTTGGCATGCTGTAGGGAAAAGGGCAAAGGCTTTGGAGGCCAAACAGGTCTTCATCACTTACTAGCTATGTGGCTTTGGGCAAGTGAATTAGCCTTGCTTGGATTCTGTTTGCTCATTGCCAAAACAGGAGCAAACTGCTTCACTGGATTGTTCTGAGGAGTAATGAGATGATTAATGTGTGTTAAATGCCTGACATTGTAGCTGAACATATTAGTGGCCCAATGAATGGTAAGCCCCTCCCCATTACCTTCTAGGGTTATAATCATTTATTTGCTGTTTTGTCTACATTTGTCTAAATAAGGGAAAGAGTCCACTTTTAGCAACCTCAGTGCAAGAGGCTCCCAAGGGAAAGTTGAAAACACAGAGGAAAAGCATTAGGTTCTTCTTAGAACACTCCTCATACCTCACCTGGAGCTTCTACCTCTTCCATCCCGTGGACCCTGGTGTGTGTGTATGTGTGTTTATGTGTGTGTGATATGTGTGTGTTTAAGTCAAGGCAGTAGTCGCTCTCAGGCATGTAAAGACATAAGTTCCTTTCCTTGGCTTGGCTCTCCATGTGTGTCATGCAAGTAGCATGGTTAAGCAGTGCAGGGTAACTTGTATGTATAGGAGAGGAACAGTTGGCCACTAACACTCTTCATGGGTTAAAAGCTGATTCCTTCCACCCTTCTGTGCATTGGCAAGAGCAGATTAATCTGTAGTTCTAGGAAAAATTTGCCTGCTGCAGGGAAAAAGAATTTGTTACTTTACTGGAAGGGCTGGGTCACTGAAGTGGTCTCATTACCTGCTCCAATGCACTTCTTTGTTTGGTTAACTTGTGAAGTTCAAGACATTTGCCTTCAAAGCTGTTCAATGTCTTTGTCAGTGCTCTTTTTATTTTTGTAGAAATTCCCCCCTCTCGTAACTCCTCTCTTCAGCACCCCAATCCTCCTCTAAACCCTCTTCAACCTCCTCCCAATCTCCCCAAAACCCTCTTCTCAGTCTTACCTCTACCTTTCCCCTAATCCGTCCATACTTCACTCACTTTCAGCCCTAACCATTCCCTACTCTCACTTTCAGCCCTAACCATTCCCTATTCTCTCCATCTTACCCTCTACATCATTTCTCCATCATCTGCAGACCTGGCACTATACCTGGAATGTTTAGGAGCCTCCCTAAACTTTGAACATTTTTGATTTCCCTCTCTCCCTCCCAATTTACTAGTTTGTTATCTCTTCCTCTAGCTAAGCCAAGAAATAATTCAAACACAAGTAGAAATTGCTAATATTTATTGATTCTTTAAAAAATATCACTTACAAACTTATTTTCTTTGTGTAAAAGATGTTGCAATTTTATGATAAAGAAAATATTGATAAGAAAAAAATCAAGTCACTTTAACAGCTACGCTTTTTCATTATTAGTTTCTAACATCTATTCTCATGTGTATTGTTAGTATAAATTGTAATTTAAACAGTTACGCAGAATGCAGGGTTCTGAGATAGAGGCATGCAGAGTTAGTGAAAAAAAAAGCAGCTCAAAGTCATCAGGTTCAGTCTATCATCTAAGAGGCAGAGTCGTTGTACAGGTAGCCTTAGTACACAGCAAGAGGTTCAGTAGAATATTCAGGGAGCAGTAAATGCTGATGACAGCTGAGGTAACAGAAGACAGGGTGCCAGGAACAATCACTAGGACGCAGGATCTAGCCAGCAATTATTTCATCAAGATTTCTTCTATTCCACCTGTGCTTGAAGTAATTGTAGCAAAGCATAGGAATGTAGCAATTGTAGCAATTGTAGCAAAGCAAAGCAATAACGTGATGGAAAGGCCACAAGGCAGGTACTCCATTCTACGTTTGGGTCATGTGTCTCAAGCCAATAGATTCCAAGATTCAGAGGATATTGTGGTGCATGAATAATGTCAAACTGGAGCTCTACTACATGGTTTCCAATTTTAACTTTGACAGGTGATGTTTCCTTATTTATGGGCCCATTAATAAGTGGACGGCCGTCGACAGTTTCCAGCATCAGAGAGAAGATATTACTGCGATGGGCAGCTTCTCTAGAAGAACCACAGCCTGATCAATGCTGTTTCTGTAGGAGCCTGAATCTACCATTGCTTGCTCAAAGAATTGTTGTCTTCCTTTCAGAGCTCAGTCGGATTTCAACAGTAAGCCATAGTGTATGAGACATCGATATTGGAAGAGAGGGGGACGCATATTTGTAGATTGGCCCTCCTGGGGTCCCCCTTACTGGCAGGCCTCAAAGTTTCCTGCCTGCAGGGCTTGATGAGACTTGACAGGGCAATCTCTGGCAAAATGACCAGGATAACCACAGTAGAGGCATAAGTGGCCTTTGCGCCAATGGGCCCATTCAGCTTCACTGTTGTGTGGACAGTTGATTGCAGCTTGCATAGGTTGGTTTTCATCTGGTGGACTCTCAGGCCCATCTCCCTCTGCAGAGGAGCTTTTCCCTAATGGATTGGGATCAGGCTTCTCTTCTAGGCTGATGCACTGAGTGATGAGATCAGATAGGTTGGTGGCTGGGCTTGTGTGAAACAGTTAATCTCGTATAGAACTGGAAAGCCCTTCTTGAAATTGAATGCAGAGAATGTTTTCATCCCAGTTCAGCTCTTGAGCAACAAGGTGGAAGTGGGTTGTTACATGACCCTCCCCTTGGCAGAGTTGACGGATGCACTGGTTGGCATCTTCCATGTTTTCGGGATTATCAAAAGTATCCTGGAGCACATGTATGAAATTTTCACATTGACCCGGTAAGGGGCTTTGGATATCCAGTAAGAGCTGGAACCACCATCCTGCCTTATCTGAGAAGCAATTGCCAACAAAGCTCACCAGGGCTGCCTCAGTGGTACACAGGTGCCCTTTGACTCTCATGTAACTATTCAGTTGAACCAGGAACTCGGGAAGCTTCTGGGAATCTCCATTGAAAGTTAAAGGGTATTCCAGGGGGAAAGCTGTAGCCTCTAACCCAATAGGGGCCTGTGGAAACTCTGGAGCTGCCAATGTCTCCACAACTATTAGACTCTCCAGGGACTCCTGGGTTGCTGAGAGTTCTAGGAATTCCTGGGCATTTGAAGGCTCCAGAAGATCCTGGGGAGTTGGAAGCTCACGGAACTCTAGCTGTGCTGCAGTCTCCTGGCATTTTGTTGCCTCCTGGGGCTTCTCAATATTTGGGGGATCCTGGGGTTCTGAATTCTCGGGCTCTTGGGCTGATGTGGGATCCTGGGTGTCTGCAGACCCCTGGCCCTCCAAGACTGCTGGGATCTCATGGGCCATTGGAGGTTTCTGGGACTCCTGGGTTGCGGGAGGCTCCAGGGACTCTGGGGCTGCTGGGGCCTCCTGGAGCTCCCAGGCTGCTGGGGGTTCCCAGCGTGGAAGCTCCTGTGGCTCTGGTGGCTTCTGGGGCTCCTTGAACTCTGGGGTCTTTTGGGACTCCCAGGCTGCTGGGGGATTCGTGTGCTCTGGGAGCTTCTGGGGCTCCTTGGCCTCTGAGGACTTTCGGAGTAGATCATCCTCCTTGGCTGCTTGGGATTTCTGAAGCTCTGAGATCTGGGCCCGGAGGGTAGCATTTTCTTCCATCAGCCGCCGCACTTGAGCCTGCAGAATTTCATTCTCCAATTTCAGAGCAATATAGGAGGCTGCTAAGTCCTCCACCATCTTTTGAGGAAATGGGCATGATTTGACAGTTTGCTACCAAGAGAGATTGGGTGGGCGTTTGTGAGATCTTTCCTGAAAGCTGCTTACAGGCAGATGTCAGGCTCAGTGAGTTTTCCAAGGGGTAGGGATTTGGGCCCCACCAAGGCTGATTATCAAGAGGTCACTGGGAGCCTCCGGAGCTCAGCAAGAAGGAGCCTCCAGAGCTCAGTAAGGGGAAGTGTCAGATACACTGCGAAGAGAGTGGGAGCTGAGGATCAGAAACTGTGGAAAGCACACATTCAACATAAATCAAAACAAAATCTGCCCAACAATGCTGGGTTTCTTTTACCATAGGCTTATGTTCATGAGCTGGGGTATATATGCTGGATCTGACTCCATGACATTTTAAGAACAGCACCTATCCCAGACTGTGCATGTCATTTTGCATTTATCCTTTGAAACTTAACATTATATCAAAAACAACTATTCCACATTATTTTCTGTTTTATATAGTCTTTAATTTTGAATACTTGCCTAATATTCCAATGTAACATTTGGAATTTAAAAGCTACTTTCAGTGACTAAATCAAACGTTTGAGCAATGTGGGAATTTTAGACTCTGCGGTGGGCCAACCCAAGAGATATTTTTGGGTGACTAGGGTGGTAGGAAGCAGGAGGGAACTCTTTCTGACACCTCAGAAATCATACCACATAAGTAACCACACAAGACTAGCCTCAGGAGAAAACAAGCAAAAGTTGACTAAATATATATATATGCCCTCAGCAGACACATGCATATTATTTATAAAAATGCCTCAAAATAGTTAAGAAAATAATCTTTATAAATGTACGTTACCATTCAGAGACTTAGTCCAGGAGCTTGGCTGTCTGTGTACCCATCGCTGAGGAGCGAAATGTGTAAATGGCTGTGGAGGCTTGCCTTTTCTGCACACACTGAACTCAAGCAAACACACCCACTCCCAGAACACATTCCAACTCTCCTCAGTAACATAGCTTTTTAAAGTGTGGAAGAGTTTTTTGACAGTACCTCACAGTTCAGAGCTGCAAGGAAAGTAGGATGCTGTGCTGATGTGAAGCAGCTTCATGTACTCAGTCCCTGGTTACTTTAATGAATATTTGGCCAGGAAATTGGGAGTAATACCACTGCCCTTGTGAAAAGTTGCAAACATTTTTGAATGACCACAGTGGTTTGGGATGTGATTTTTTATGTCTCTCTCATGTAACCTACTCTTACTCTGTCCAAATTGGGCCATTTGTTTACTTCTCACTCAGGGAAGAGCCTGCAAATCCTCAGCCCCTTCCCTTGCTTACTACCTATCCAGTCCCTAGAGTTTTTCCTTGCAATGTTTTCTTGGAAAATTTACCATGGACAGATCTAGAAAAGGTATAAAAGGGTACAAATGTCAGGGAGACCAACTGTGTTGGTGGGTACTTATAGCAGTCTTACAGAGTCCCTGGCTCTTTCTGAATGTCCTGGACCAAGGATCTCATGCTTCCCTGAACTGATCAGGTGCTCCAAGTAGCACTCAGGACATCCACTAAAGACTGGCCTCTTGGGAAGTGACCCTACTCAGAGTGTCACTTTCTCTTCTCATGACAGATCACAGTTATGCCTTGGGTATGGGCTATTTGGCCATTTTAGGCAAGGCTTAGGGGCAACTATTTTTATCCAAGTGAGGAGTGGGGTTGAGGATTGTATCTGGCCATTTCAAATCACGCATCATGTCAACCATGGTCCCATGTCTCTTTTACAAATGGTCAGTTTTGCATTAGTCAGCATAATGGGATAAACCCTAGTGATGGAATAGGCCCAAAACATAGCAAATTGACAGACTGGGCTACCTGAATCTGAATGCAGAAGCTTTGAAAGTAAAAACAAAATCTTTTGCAAATCGAGTTTATTCTTTCCTTAACTTCCAAATTTTTATTTTTCTAGAAAAACAACACATATAAAAATACCACCATCATCAGGGATGATATGTTCTATTTATGTGAAGTTTTCAGATAACTGAAGCCTTCCTGCCCTCCAAGAAGCCAAAACACACAGTTAGCATTTATTTTATACAGAAAGAGAAGAGAACTCCCAACATCTGAATTTGTAACGGGCTTAGTTAGGGAACAACTATTAATTGAAACTCTTTCCTAACGCTTAGCAATTTCTGTATCAATGAGTTTGAAGTTTCGATGCTGGACATCAAGTTGAAATTTAATAAATAGCAGAAATATTTATAGCATATGTTATACCTCTTCATCCATTCTTAAGAAATGATTTTGTATATAATTTAATCCAGTTTTAATGGTCTGAATTCGCACTTACACAAACCAGCTAGTTTACACTGTTGTAACACAGTGTTGCCCTCTGAAAGCTACTGAGAGGTACAAAGTTGTCTGTCTTCAAATTAAAAACTTCCAAATTGCTATGCTTCCCAACTTCTTATATTTTCTTTTCCTTTATATTTTTCTACTCTTTTGCAATCAAGTTGTAACATAGCCCGTCATGTTATTACCTATATGCCTGTCTATACTTACTCTATACAAATTTGGCAAATTACTTCATCTTTCTGATAATTACAATCTAAACCTTAGTTTATGAAACTGTAAAATGAAGCTATTAATATTATTTGACTTTATAGGGTTGTCAAACATTCAGTGAAATAATGTGTGAAAAAAGGCTTAGCACAGTGTCTGGCAGCTAATAACACCAAATAAAGGTTAATGATAATAATAATAAGCTGTAGCAGCAGTAATCTCATTTTAAGTTATTCTTTTTAATCACCTGCGAATTGGGAAACTGAATAGGTAAACATGCTAGTTGTGTAGAGTCTGAGAAAGGGGTCTCATACAAAGAAATCTACAGTGCATCGATTTTATAGCATTGATTTTTTTATAACTTGGGAACTTTTATCTTTTCTTCCTTACTGGGTTATGGATGGTTTGGTTTACTAAATAGTACTCTAGAATCAGGACTGGAGGCACCTGAGCAGGAAGATTAGAAGATTAAGATTGGAATTGTGAAGCAGCCAAGATAGATGTTTAAAAAGTTCATGGACTAAAGCACTGAAAAGTGCCTTACCTACAGGAATATTTATTCAGTATATAAACACAGAAACCTTTCTTTCCCCAACCCCCTACACTAAAGAGCAAAGACCAAATTCACCGTCCTTAAGTACAAGTTCAAACTGCCTAAATATAGAGAATTATTATTTTCTGGGTGGAAAAGGGAGCTACACAGACTTTTGTCAAAATGCCTAAAACGGTTTTAGTATCCTGAATTAGTCAAGTGAGAATAGGAAAGTAAGAATAAGAAAGTAATCACATCCAAATTTTCATCATGTTTCCCCTACATTTTAATTCTTCTCCATACATTCACAACATTATGGAATGTATGGATCCTTTAGAATGGTCATGAAAATATTTTAAGTAAATGAGGTTTTGTTAACTGTGCAAATGAGTATTTCAGGGAGAAAAGAGACAAATATGCTCATTTAACAGATATAAAAAGACTACACACTAAAAGGAAATATTCAGTCTCAGTTATGTTAATAAGCTACGTATGTTGATTGTCAGCTTAGGGAGAAAAGGAAAGAAAAAGTTGAATGAAATACAGTTCTACTTTGTACATTCCACTGGCTCATAATTTTCTTTTGTCTGCAAATACACAAACTAAACGTTTTAGGTCTCTGCCAGGGTCTTCCTTCCCTAAGCTGGCTGGGCTGCATCTTTAAGCAACTCCAGCTTCTGTCCCTCCCTTTTCCCACCCTGAAAAAGAGTCAATGGGACAGTTTACCCTATAGGTCTCTGAAGCAAGGGCCAGTCACCCCTTGGGGGCAGTCCCATCCTGGTGTGTGTTTTATTTAAGATATTATTCCTATGGTTACATTATAACTCGCAACACTTTCTGCAACACTTTCTTAAATTTAACCCATAATGTGATTAGTACAGATTGAAACTTTTCATTGTCAACAACACCCAATAATATAGCACTGGGGCAGCAGGAGTTCCCAATTCCTCTGGAAGTTAGAAGGCTGATCAAAAATTCTCTTTACTCATAAGGCCAGGACCCAGAGGACCTAGTAATGGTTTGGAAACAGAGTCTATCCCACACAAGAGTCAAAATTTGTCACTCATCTCCCTTTTTGGAATTTACAACCTTCTCAATTTATTTCTTATTCCATACTTAGGAGGCTTTTCCTCTTGATCAGCTGTCACATTGGGAAAGTAAAGCCCTACTGAAATACTAACTTGTAAGGCTTTAAAAAATCTTTCTTGGGGGTGTTTGCATTTTCATAGGATATTTTGAAAGACTACAATCCATTCAAGACCAGTCTGTTAGGAGAGATGCCCTTGGTCAGATACATCATTTTGGTGTCCTTCAGATTACACCTTGTCAGTGGCCTTATATTTGATTTCCTTATAAAGTTGACCCAATATGGTCCCTAATGTTAGCAGCAGATATGTTTAATGATTTTAATGCTCTGATTTCACTAAATCCTTGTGAAGGCACCAGGGTGCCTTAGTTTCCTCACCAGGGCTGAGGAAACTACCTTCACAGCCTAACAAAGGAATGGGGGACTTTCCTATAACCCCACTTCTGGAGATGCACTTATTGTAGAGATCTGTCCTTCTCCTCTACTTCCTGGACCTCTCCTCTCCGGAGCCTACCAATGCTGGCTCACCCAGAAGTCAGACTAACTTTAAGCTGATGGTACCAGCAAAGCGGGAGAGATGGGGAAAGACAGGATGGAGGGAGAAGTGGGGAGATGAGGGGCTAATGACGGACAAAAGGAGAAAGAGAGAGAGAAAAAGAGAGGGAGGGATATGGGGAGAAAGAGAGGGTAGAGGAGAAGGCAAGGAGAAGGAAAGATAATATCAGAAAATCTAGAAAGAAGCTTAAAATCTCAGCATATGTACATTTTGGTCAGTGAAAGAAAAAATTTAATTTTATAGTTTAGCATTTTAAGAATTAGATAAAATTATGAGGCATTATCTTTTAAGTGCTTAAGCTTACCTCTACAGGTCCATAGTGGATGACATAGTCTTTAAAGGTTTGCAGACTACTGAAGGAGCGATGATAGAGCCTCAGTGGGACTGAAGAGGATGGTAAGAGTGTAGAAGTGGAAGATGCAGGAGTGAATGGGGTGTTGAAGAGAAAGAACACCAAAATTGACCATTTTTTCTGTGTGGTACAAATAAGATATTAGTTGTTAAAGTGCTTTAAAAATGTGCTAATGGAAAGGGCTCAGGCTTTGAAGTAAGGCAGGACTAGTTTCAGTTCCCACCTCTGCTATTTGCTAGCTGTATGGTCTTGTCCAAGTTGCTTAAATTCTCTGAAACTCATTTTCCTCACTTGGAATAAAGGAGATAACAATGGGTAATTACTGAGTTACTGTGAGGGTTAGAAATAATGTTAGTATTTAATAATAAGCTTTTTTTGAGTTGTAGTTTATGATAAAAATCATATTGACAGTGGAAATAATTGTCATTGATTTTCATATGTCAGCTTATCTAGTGCACTAGAGCAAAACTCTTCTCAATTTTTTACATATAAACTCAACATAATATGATTGCTCCAATATATAGATGCTCCTCATCTTATGACTTACAATAGGTTTATGTCCTGGTAAAGCCATTTTAAGTTGAAAATATCATAAGTTGAAATTGCATTTAACATACCTAATCTACTGCACAGCACAATTTTGCCTAGCCTACCTCAAATGTGCTCATAACACTTACATTAGATTACTGTTGGGCAAAATCATCTAACACAAAGCCTGTTTTATAACAAAGTGTTGAATATCTCATGTAATTCATTGAATATTGCACTGACAGTGAAAAGCAGAATGATTGTGAGTATAGGAAGTATGATTTCTTCCGAATGCATATTGCTTTTGTACCATTGTACAGTCAAAAAATTGTATGTTGAACCATCATGAATCAGGGACTGTCTGTATTTTGCTTTCCATAATGTCAGTCTACGTTTATTCCTTCTCACCTTCTTTCCTCAAA